CGAATAGGCTTGACGGCGCCGATTCCCTTTCTTCGATCCCTGTCGAAAATGGGCCTTTCTCGCGATTCTCTCGGAGGAATGAAATTGAGCAGGGTCCATGCCCTCTGGACGCAGAATCGCGACAGATTTGAAGTTCCTCCTGCCGTGGGTGTGGAGAAACAGGACCTAGATATTAAAAAGTGCGCATTTAACTATTCATCCTCCGATGACAATAATACCTGGGAGGTTTTCGAAGACACCATAACTAAAAGAAAGATATGAGCTTGTAGTGCGAGGCACGTACCCTTTCATTGGCAATGCAGCATTTCGGGTGAAGGAGTGAAATGTTATTGGGCAGTAGCAGCTTTTTGCGTGGACGAAGACCCTCATCACGGTTGTCAGCATCACTGTGGAGTTTAGTCCGATTTAACGAATGTTCCTGCTTTCATATCAGTCCCTGAATCTCCCTTTCATCGTGAATTATGCGTTTTCACGTTGAGTTCATAGGACGAGACGAGACTGAAAGAATAATCAGCCGCGGTCTATCGACGTGACTCATCATGGACAAATCGACCGTGGACAACCCTACTCGTCCGTGGGCATCCCTGTTCGTCCGTGGACAACCCTGTTTGACGGTGTGTTCGTTTGTGCTTCGGAGGCAGTCTGTCCACAGACGCCTTCGTCGAGATGTTTCGAGAAACTCGATATCGGCCCATCGTAGGCGTAACGTTATGCGTCCTCGCAGGGGCGGTTCGAGAAACTCGAGACAGACCAATCATCGGTCTAATTGGTCAACTCGAGAGTTGAGACCCTTATTCCCGGAAATAAGTTTGCCAAGATCTGGACGTGTGCCTAGTAAGTCGCTATGCTTATTCTAAAACGTAATCTACTATTGCCAATATTTTCCAATTTTGTGTCATTCATCGTCTTAATTGGGCAGAAGGTGAAGAAAGGAGAAATGCCTTTGAAAAGAATGTTTTCACATCGGCAACACTTTGACCCAGGGCCTTGCCCCCCTCCCCCTCGAATCTCGAAATCCCTTGGGCTTTCTCATTAGCTGATTCACATGGTCTAGTTAGGCACCATGATCGCAAACACCATCTGTGGCATAGGCATGCCCATCCCTAGGAGATTTTTCTATTTTCAGTTTTGTTTCTTCTCCCTCCCCAGGAAGCAACCACAGATGTTGATGTTGGACCAAAATTAACGCAACGCAGAACTAATATGAAAATACTAGTCCAGCGTTGGGCGCACATTCGTCCAATATCCTTAATACAAAGGCCTCAGAAAATCATCTGTCCTCTTGAAATTGTGCGAGCTTCTATTACATGGAACTGACTCTCCTGGGAGTTCATGTGAGTCAAATCGTATTATGAAAAATTGAACCTTTCAAGTGAATCTGTACAATTTCAGCCCCTTTTCCTTCCTCCCCATGTGCTTACACTTACATAAGGGTAGTTAAAGTATATATCGTAAAAGTTCAGGGTGTCAAGTATTGGGCGCTCCCGAAATAATTATTTATTTATCAAAATCTACAAAAATTAGAAACAAAATTTAAACGGCACTATAAACTACGACTGCAGGAGATTGTGGTATGATGTGCTCAATATGGGTGCCCTCGCTTGCAACCACGTGACACAGCCGAACAAAGAAGTTCTGGGCGACAGCTTCGAGAGCCTCTTTGGAAATCTTTTCAATTTCACTCTGAATGGCATCCTGAAGCGCCTCGATGGTTTTCGGGTAGTTTACGTGAACCTCATCTTTAATGCAGAATGTAATCGCAAGGTTGGGGTCCAAGGTACAAGGAGGCCTGTCGATACCCTTTCCAAATGCCTTGTTCTAATCCAGAGCAATAACGGCAAAATGTTCACAGTGAAACTCGAACACTTCGTGCGACGTGCGATAAGGCCGTCCGACATAAAGCCTCTTGCGGGCCGCAATCCCCTGGAACGAAATTCCTTCCCCTGTCCGTTTGAAGTTGCTCATCGATCTGTTGATCGGTGACATCAATCTCTCATTCCTTACTCTTTGCAAAATGCCCTTCTCACTGTCTCCAGACTTTCTTGACTTAAAAAATATTATTGCACCATAAAAACGCATTGTTCAATGTCGTAGTCACCATTTCTATTTTTAAAAATGACGATAATAGAAAAAATGTAATGCCCAGGTGCGAAAAAACTCCTGCAGTTACTGAACATCCGTGCAAATATTGAAGCTCATACACTCACATTATAGGAAGATATTAAAGGTTTATACGAGAGCGCCAATTATTTAACACCCTGTATGTGCGTACAGATGAGAAGGAAGTTGATTAAATTTTCGCGAGCCAATATATTCCATAACGGATGAGTTTTCCTCTGTCATCGTGCATTTCCGAAGCGGAGATTGGGAAACCCCAACTCTTACCCTTCGTGGCAGAAGTAAAAAGCAATGAAACCGAAATCTATGGCGACAAGGATGAAAGGGGAAGGAAAGATGAATTTTCGGGTTCCACTTCTCTTGGCATTACAGTTCTGAAATTGGTGATGACATTGTCGATTGTTCATTATCACCTTGATGGACGTCGGACTTCGATCGCGCAAGTGGAAACCTTGGGAATGGCCTACCGCTCTTTTGTATCGTTATGCTCAACAGGCAATCCTTGAGACATTGTATGTACCGGGTGGCCCAAAAAAAAGTTCCGAAGTTTACATGCCCGCAGACGGTGTACCATGTGAGCTATCGACAGGAAATATACAGGCTTTTGCATGCAATGTTTGCAGGTAATGTAACAAAAATTTTTTTTTTGGAATTTGATAGAAATTGGTTGCAAACTACATGAGTAACAATTTCTCTCCCGCGCGATGTCAAAATTGCAAGTGTACAAAGGAACGCACCTGAACTCAATGAAAGAACTGCTTGATGGGTCCTCCATGGATGTGTCCTCCTTGGATCGCCCGCCGAGGCAACACGCCAGCAAACGCACTGCCACACTTGCTCATTTGACGACTTGTATGGAAAGAGCTCTTACTCATGTTCAGAGAAAGGAATTTCATTGAAAATTTCCTAAAGCCACCTACTGATATTGGGTATGACACTGAAAATTTCAAGATGATGGTTAGTATAGTGTCCCGTCTGCAGCTGCACGAAGTTAGGAACTTTTTTTGGGCCCCCGGTATTATACATGATAAGAATTATATGTATTATACATATTATACATGATAAGAATATTTGGTAAAATATATAATATATTGTACTTAAAGATTTAATAAGGATAATAAAATATGATGTGCAAATTATGAAATATTTGTTTGGTGAAATGTTTTTAGAATTCGTAATTTGGAAATATTCACATTCGTGAGTTCTGTAAGAAAAAATAGAGATAAAGTTTGAAGCAGTAGTATTACCACAAATATTGACTTTCGGACACTTCCAGACAATTGCATGAGGAGTCTCATTTCTTTTTCTTTAAAAGGAAGGTCGCTAAAAATAAAGATCGCATGCCGCGCCGAGGCATCTTTTCCAAAATGAAGAGTCATGTGGCAGTTTCCCAAGACGTCGTCTGCTAGTGAAGATGGCGGCGCGCTTTTACCGCTCCCGGGTCAGTGCCGCGTGGCATGACTCTGGGTTCTTAGGACTACGAGAGCCTCATCGTTCGTTCTAACTCCCAGGCTTTTGAATTAAGTATGAGGCGGCGTTAGGCTTGTTTTTGATCCCACACTTGGTTTCTTTTGAAATCGTCTGCAAGTTCCTTCTGAGAATTCAGAGATTGTGAGCTTCTTTGGGATAACTTGGTTCGATGTTCTAGCGCGAAATCCAGCTTCACACTACATAACATCTGTTACTTCTATCATGAAATATGCTGCTCTACATTGCTGGTGTTGGATTGCTATTAGTTGCTTTTAGAGGCTCAATATGTGTGCATGCTTGCCAAGGCATAGACGTCAGCAGGATGTGGCAATGGTGGAGAAAATACTTCTAAAGGATCCATATACAGTGAAATGTGTCATGATCATCAATTCAAGCCAGCCATGGCATTTTCCAAATATCTTCTTTTCCCACAGAAAGGAACTTAATCTCCATTATACATGTTAAACCTCTGACTCAGCCACTTGTTTGACCTGACTAAGGTTGCCCAAATTTGGTGCTAGATGTCACCAACATTTGCTTAGCCAATCATAGGAAATGGTGCCATAGACTGTTGACCTATTTATTGGCTTCTCTATAAACCATATTGTGTTTGTCATTCGTGTGGACTCTTGACTGCTTTTGCCAGAACTTTGCCTTTGCCTAAGAGGCCTTGATCTATATCTTGTTACTGTAAATAAGAAACTTTGGTAGTCCCAAGAGGGAGTGCTAGTTGAAGGGACTCTACTTTTGACCCTGTTCTCTGAAGATGCTCCCTTGTTACAATTATACTTTACTCTCTTCCTGACAACCATGGACTCATCCAGTTATACCCCTTATTTTAAATCCTATGTTCCTCCAATATAGCCTGTAATCTCTTGTGAATAGCAGTATTGAAAACTTAAGTCTAGACATAGCACTGGTATGTCAATGGGGTTTCCTTTAACCACATCTGTTACCCATGTTATACAGGACTTGGTCAAAGACCTACAACTTGCCTAGAAAAGCTGGAATAAAGTTTAAGTTGCAAGTCTTTGTTGGAGGGGAAGCACTTGCCAAAAATTGGCTGGACAGACTTTCTTGCCTTGCCTTGACAAGTTTTTTATATGAAGATATCTTTAGGCCTTATCCTAATGTAATATAAATTCCTATCTATCCAAGAGGGAATGCCATGCATATAGGGCCTTAAGCTAGGATGACCCATGGTGGCTTCAATCTTGTCCATTGTAATATCACTTAGTTTATTTGTTTCCAACATATAAATTGTGCCTTTCATATTTGATTATTCCAGGTCATATGTTAGTGGGAAGATGCTGTTCTCAGGGAGTCAAAGTTGATTACAAAGTTGATCTGTGTTTTTATGAAGACACTTCACTTCATAATGGTTTAACTTTGAAAGTAGGAACAAGTTGACAATGACTGATAGAGGCCTGTTTTTTGCTTCTCGTGGCTCAAAGGGCCTCCATTTTCACGGTGCCCCTGCATATGATGAACAAGCTCTCTTGAATGAGGAAGCTCGTATCATACATTTCAGTCACGATGGAAAACACCTTGCTTATGCCACAAATGATAAGCTAAAAGTCATTGAGACTCAGCAGCTGAAACAAGTATTTGAAGCAGATTGCATTCGTATTATTGGCTTGGCTTTTTCTCCAAATGGGACTTATTTGTCTTGTTTGGAGCAATACTTCTCCCCTAAAGATGGAGGTCAACCCAAGAAAAATCTATCTCTGTGGAATATATCAAAACATGGTGAAAGGATGACTGACTTTGTCCAGAAGAAGCAGACCAATTGGCAGCTGCAGTGGGCCAAGGATGAGTCAACCTATAGCAGGATTGTAACAAATGAAGTCCATTTCTACAGCAGTTCTGATTTCAAACTTATAAGTGCCAAAATTCGCCTGGAGAAAGTTGAAACCTTTGCATTATCTCCTGGTCCATCTCCATTTCATGTGGCTTGCTATGTTCCCGGATCACGTGGTCAGCCTTCTTTGGTTAGACTCTTTCGCAGCCCTGTCTCAGAACCTGATGCTCCGCCTGTTGCCAGCAAAAGCTTCTTCAAGGCTGATAGGGTTGAAATGAAGTGGAGCCAAACAGGCACAGGGCTTCTGGTCCTCACAATCACAGATGTAGACAAGACAGGATCATCATATTATGGGGAACAGGGACTCCACTATGTCGATATTAAAGGGCATTCGGCTGTTGTTCAGACAAGTAAGAAAGGTCCCATCCATGCAGCAGAATGGAGTCCCAACAGCAGAGAATTCTGTGCTGTATATGGAACAATGCCAGCTAAGGCTACATTATTCAACAGCAAATGTGAATCTGTCCTTGAGTTTGGTACAGGCTCATGGAATCAATGTTACTTCAATTCCTTTGGGAATATATTACTCCTAGCTGGTTTTGGAAATCTGAGGGGCACAGTTGACGTCTGGGGGTTGGATGGAACGAAGTTCAAACAAGCTGGGCGACTTCAGGCTCCGGACAGCACCCTTCTTCATTGGGCTCCAGATGGTGAACACTTCCTCACTGCCACAACTGCCCCACGACTGAGAACGGCAAATGGCTTCAAAGTTTGGCATTATTCAGGAACCCTGAAGAAAGACTGCCTGTACCCAGAAGGACAAGAGCTCTGGGATGTGGCTTGGAAACCCTGGCCGCCTGGTCATGAAGGCCCCAAGAATATATCCTTCCAAAATGCATCAGCTGCCAACGCTGCTTCTATGGCTCCTCAGCCGTACAGGCCGCCTGGAGCCAGGAATCGGCCTCTGCAGCCCTTCAGTCTTCATGACGATGAGGACGATGTGAAGAAGCCATCAACTACGTCTTCCATCCCGGGAGCACCGGTGGGGCTCTCTGAGGTCTCCAAAAGTGCTCTCAAGAATAAAAAGAAGAAAGAGGCAAAGAAAGCCAAGAAAGCTGTCGAGGGACAGTTGGCCACAGATGAAACAAGCAGTCCAGCCGATGAGAAGGCTTCCAATACCCTCCCACCTGAGCAAGAGAAAAAAGTAAAAAATTTGAAGAAGAAGCTTGAAGACATCCGGAAGCTGAAAGCCGATCAGGCGGAAGGAAAGGTCTTGGAAAAGAATCAGCTGGACAAGATTGCTAGAGAAGCAGAATTGCTCAGTGAATTGAAAAGCCTCTCAATGTGAAATGTCTCATTTGACTGAATGGCATATTGGAATATATGCGCAACTTTGTTAATAACTTCCACGTATTGCTTCTCATTTCCTAGCTACTAATAGTTTGTGGTCAGTTGCTTTTTTTGTGGAAAGTTTGATAGAATTGCTTATGTTCTTTTATTGTTAAGGTGTTTTTATCTAGTTTTTTTTTTGTTGCAAGAAGTATCTTCGGTTTACGCTAACTTTCCGTCCAAGATTTTGAAACTTCTGATGTACTTCCTAAGTAACAAAGTTGAAATGAGTGCTTTAGTATTTAAGGATTACGGAAGGAGTGTGCCCGCCTCTATCAGCTTACCGTCGTTTGTAAACAAAAGATAAGCACAGCTCACGTGCGATATGTTGGGTATCGAGACCAGCTTTCTAAGTCGCACCGGCCGTCGCTATTGTTTCGCTCTATTGACGGAAAAGTTCGATAGAAATATCTTGAACATACATGACTCGTATTCGTCAACACGACTGAGTGATAAACGCAAGCTGGACGTTGCCAGTGAACGGAAGGTATTCTTCTGATGATCGATGCAGAATGTCCATTTCAAAAATGTATTACAATGTCTAGTTCAGCGGTGCACAACATGTGGGCCGCATACTGTCCGCGGCCCGCCATGACTGGTGGCTTACCAAGTATTACTATGGCTCCTGTCCTGTTGGCCACAGCTATGGTCAGCCAGCTGCGGCCCACGGTAGGTGAGTAAAAATCGGCATTGGTCCTCACAGCCCTTTGAGTTGTGCACCCCTGGTCTAGTTTAATCAAATTTTAGTTTGATTTGACATACAGGTCATTCGGTTCAACTTGCTTATCGAGCTAATCGGCAGCGCATATACCCCATTCTCATTGCTCCTAACAACATAAACAACAAATTCACGTGCATCAACCGAATTCGTCGAACCTAAAAGCTAGGTCTGCTCATTCTCGTATTCCATCTCAACTCGCATTGATTATTCTTGAGATGTGCTAAAAAATGGATATAACCCGAAAATCTTATCAATTATTATTTTTTTTTATCAGGAAGGAACGGTGGAGGACAAAAATAGGTGGATCACTTCCCTATGATAACGAGAGTTTAAGTTAAAATTCATAGCTCAAGATGACACAGACATTTATTATTTACATCCACTCTTTCCCCCTCTCCCCCCCTTACCTTCTGATGAACTGGCATAGTTTGCATCAGTCACGGATATTTGACATCCGCCCGTGATCGAGAATCGGGAATGTACATGCAGTCCTGGCTGCTTTTACTACTGCTTGAGATGATGTGGGAAGAGTTCAGCTGACATCCAAGAATTTTCCGCAATATGGAGAGCTGGGGAACTTGAACACGTGAGCCTTAAGGTTGCCCAGTAAATCAAGTTTCGTTCACATTCGATTCAATTACCGTTCCAATTTTCTCATTGATTTTCAAAATCTCTTCAAGGACTTAATGGACACCCTTTACATTAGACCTCGCTGCTCGAAACTCCTAAGAGCTTCACGAACCATGCATTAAAAGCGCTCTGCGCCGACACGTATTTCTCGAGTGCAAGAGAGACATTTCGAGCAGGTTGACCCTTTTAACTGCTGGGAATGAAATGATCCAAAGCTCCGAGACCAGGGGCGTGTTTCATGGAATTAACAAGTTCTATAAGTTAAAAGTTAAAAATACTTGCTAGGGTCGTGTCTTCTTGTTTAACTCTTCCAGCTGATCCCGCTGGCCCTTCGTACGCGACCCTTGTAATTACTTGTAACTTGTAGAACTTATAAATTCCATGAAATAGGCCCCAGAACCACGACTCTCATTCGGAATCAATCTCTACCTACTTACACATAGCGCTGTGGCTAGCGAAAGACTCAGCTGGGACGCGTTCGGACCACTTCAAAGCATATATTCTCATGGCCGAGGGAATAGTGCTTCGCCAAATTCCATAGACTGAATACGCCCGTTCCCGCTATCGGCAGGTCCGTCTCTCTAAACCTAATGCAGGGACGGGGGAACGAGAATAGTTTTACCGCTACTTGCTGAAGTAGTATACCCAACAGTGAAACGATTGTCCTCCATGACAATTAACCACGCTGGCATCATTTTCTTCTCATTAAGGTCATGCTGTGGAAAAGCACAGAATTCTGCCACTCTACTTGCTCTGATTGCGGACTCATCTGTGTAGATGACGTCAAACAGTAAAGCCTCATACATTATTTCGCCGTAAGCTGGGACTGACGTCAGGGGTTGAAACCCACACGAAGAAGCATTGCAGAATGCGTGCACTCTCACCCATCGTAAGATTTATTTTAGGCTCCTTAATACGTTGAGACGTTGATGCTGGAACATCGGCGTATTCTCTTCCCCCCCCCCCCCCCCCCCCCCCCCCCCCCCCCCCCCCCCCCCCCCCCCCCCCCCCCACCNCCCTTTCCTCCCCCCCCCCCCCCCCCCCCCCCCGAATCAAGTAGATTGAGACGAAAGAGCAAAAATAAGTTGCTCTGCTTCTTCCTTCCGGCCCTCCCACGCACTACCCCCACTTCGGTATTAAACTTGTTAAATCTCCTGCCATCCTCTAATCCTCTCGCCTCTTCGCAGCTGCCTACCCCAGGGAATACCTGGCTATGCCCTTATGCCTGAGAATCAGGGTTCATGTCCTAATTTTAGATATGCTCCTTTCTCCTAACCTCGGTTTTCTGTTCTGGGGAGTTCCCACTATGGACAAGGGTTGCCAGATTTAGATAAGAACATTACGCTACCCCTTTCCCCCAGCGCTGTCACCTAAAGTTTCGGAAGGTTACGAGACCATGATTTGCCGTTGATTTTTTTCGCATTAAAAATTATCTACCGTATTGATCAGAATATAAATCGAGGTCTTCCTTTCTAAAATAGATTCACGTACGCCGAGTGCTCATCGAATTACGGCAGTCACCTCGAACGGTGACTGCCGTAAAATTGATTGAAGCCAAATCGAAAACATCCTTTTCAGGGAGTCGTCTTACTGTATATTCAAGCGTAATATATGCTGCATTCTCATTTGCCAAAAACCGGGAGATCTCTATTGCCTGGGTCAAGCCACGAATGAACCCCGGACGAATGCCCTCAAATCCGGTTTGTCCTGATCAAACCCGGACGTCTGGCAACCCTAGCCACGACGTCAGTTTCAGCTGATGGAATATCGTTCAGGCCCAATCGAGTCGGCCACGAGCCTCGCAAGAGTCCGCGGATATTTCCAGCGCCGAAATGGAAGAAAATGAGGCGATGCACATAACGGCGGACTCGGTCCTCCCGCGAGGAGAATGCCTCCAGTCACAGCGGGGATGATGGATGGACGGAGAATACCCCAAACGAGGAGGAAAACTTGATGCAGAAAATCCATTCGTGATCGCTGCCTGTCTTCGCATTGCCAAGGGAGCCAGAAGAAAAGCAGGCAGACCGTGTTTTGAGGCATTCAAACGCGGTTCGGGCCTTCTTTCTCTTCGGTTTCCTTGAAGATCTCCTATTCTTCTCAGATCTGCGAAAAAAAAAATTTCTAGGTCAGTTTTAGACGCATATCAAGACCCTCTAAAGCAGGGATGGGCAATTATTTAGGCTGGAGGGCCACTTCACGAGTTTTGGTGAGCTTCAAGGGCCGCACTCCAGTATCTCAGAGAATACCCCCATAGCACAATCATTGTTCGTCGGTCCTATTCCCTCCTTTGCAGTAAAAACTGGTCGACAGCTTCTTCCACCGCATCACGTTTTTCGACCATCCAGATTCTCACAAAAAAGACTGCCAAGTATATCGCTCTCAAAAACAATTCGTGTCATTCATCTTCGATAAAGTTAAAGTGCACTGTGGTGTAGCCTATAGGACTGTCTGTGACAAAATGCATCAAAATGGCTCGAATTCTAAAAAATCTCACTCAGTCGGAACAGCTAGATTCGCAATCTCAGATAGCCACAAATCCCAGAGTTGACAGGTTTGACAGTTGGGCCAGGCCATCCTGGGAAGCATGAAATTTTGATAATTAATAGCCTGAATGCCAGGAAAGCGCCATTCTAGAAAAGACTGAAATTGAAACATGGCTATTTGAGGCGAGTTGAGGAGAGTAAAGGAAGGGAAAGAGGGCTTAATAATGACCAACGAAATGAGCAAGCTCAACTCATTCATTGATTATAATAGGTTCTTTCTATGACTGAACTAACATGTTTCTTTTTGTTAGACAGTGGTGGACCGGATAAAATCATTTGACCGGCCGGATTCGGCCCGCGGGCCGTATTTTGCCTACCCCTGCTCTAAAGCAACCTATGCACAATCACGTTCGGCACTCGAAAATTTTGCACAATCGGGTCGGCTCGACGCGTTGTACTTTAGGTGGTTTCCGGTATTCACGATTTACTTTTTTTTCTCGACTTCGTTTTCGCTAGAATTACGGAAAACGATGTGGGTAAATTATGGGGGGGCGCAGCAAAAAATTCTCCGACCCCGTTCTTTGCGCAAAGGAGCGGCCGAGGCAAAATCAGAGAGCTATATCAGCGACATGATATCGTTCGTCACGTTGCAAATCGATCTCAACTTGCATTCTTGAGAGGTATTTGGCTCCTGACGTTACTACGGGAGTTCCCCGTATCACCAGGAAGTCGTCTTTAAACCTACGTGAAAACTTCCAGTTTTTATCCATTTTCAGGCAAGAATAGCACGATGAAAACATTATTATTTTCATCCATTAATTTTGAAATAACACTATTTAAATATAATTGATTAATTAATATCTCCCACATACTTGGGTTAACAGCGACTCCACGGGAGCGGCCGCGGAAACGGTTCTACCGCCTGTCCAAAGATCCCTTCGGGTGCAGATTTAAATGCATTATTTAAATTTCTTGGAACCGAAAGCATTGCACATGGTCTCAAGGATCGAAACAAGTCGATCGAGGTGGCACAATTTCTTCCATTTTCCCACGGTTTCACGTCATCCGATTAAAGAAAATTTAAAAAAAAGCAAGATGAAGATGGCTTTTGAAATATATGCAATTTCCCTTGATCATGGCGCGGGACAACCGGCAATCAAACGGGAAAAAAAGTTCTTCGGATCGTAACTACTCCAAAATGCTCCGGTATTTTCATTCAAAAGGCTTGTGTCTAAGCGCTCTCTTCCTTTTCTATGGGGTGAAAATCAGATCATGGTCTATGAATATATCAATAAATATTAATAATTTTCAATAATTGCTAATTTCTAATTAGAGCCGTGAATCGTCAGAAAAATTAGGGATTTACCTTTTGATTCTTGATTCATCTCCGAAGAATGAGGATCGTTTCGACCCATATGCGAATCGCACGAATTTGACGCAAGATCCCAACAGAGCCTCAAATCTTCCCGCAAATCTTTTCGAATCTTTCGTCCTGTTGCACTTCAAACATGGAATGCAAGGACGTATGAATTCACGGTTACTTTATTTTCTGGTTGCTCCGGTTATAAGAAGAAAAAGAATCGATTTGGATTTTTAAGTTCCAAACTCAGTTTTTAACTCACTAAAACTCAAATTGAGTTGGATTTAGTATTCCCCAAAGTGTGATCCTGGTTATTATTTATAATTATCCTTAATAATTCAATTTCAATGCCTGGAAATTATTTTATTAGAATCAGAATTTATCATTTCAAGTGAATCGGGATTTAGATCAAATTAGTATCTAAAAAATGTCAGATCCAGAGATTTCTGCAAGAAGTAGAACCATAGAAATAACAATAATTTTAGCACAACACTGATATGATCCCCTTGCAGTTGCAGAATTTCCTGTGATAAATAAAATTTAAAATTCAGGTCCCATGCCAAAGCAAAGAACTGAGGATGGCATGCAACTGATATTTCTTGGAAGCAGAACTTTTCATGATGCGAGTCGGATGGGTTGCGAACAATGAGATTCGATACCATCCGTGGCGATTTTCTCGAGGTATGAGAAGGGAAGAAATATAATAGATGTCGCGTTCTCCCAACAATGATGAAACGCCAGAAGCAGAGCCCACACTAGAAGCAATACCCCCGGGGGAAAGGAATGCCATCTCCCCGTAGAAAATGATGGAGCTTTTTTCAACACTCAGTATATATTTCATCTACTCTGTTACAACAATTTTCCATAAGCGTGGCGTGGGAGGAAAGTCGGACGGAAATGGGAAAAAAAATGGGAAGGGCTAGGGAAGGGCTAGGGGAAGGGCCAGGGGAAGGGCGAGGGGAAGGGAAGGAAGAACACGGCCCTTGCCGAAAAGACACGAACTAGTGAAGAAAGTGTTAAGGTTTATAACGAGCTACCAATGAGACTCTTTTTGCGTCGTCCAGCCTGACAATCCCATTCAGACGACGGGAATGACATCTTCGGCGATGGTATTTTGCCCTCGTTGCTCCGTGTGAATAGGAGCGTGATGAAAAACGGCGCGGAAGAAGAGGAGCCGATGTCGACCGGGCTCGGGGGCTGCTCCTCCCACTGTGGGTGTTCGGTCGTAGATAAGAATCCGATAGAGGGAAGAAGTAGGATTGAATGGAGCTGTTCTCATGCAATTGATGCATCTTTTCTCTTTGTTTATTCTTTTTGTTCGGGGAAGGGGTGGGCAAGGCCAGATTACTGAATAGGAGAACAAGGTGGGGCCCAAGGCGCGCCTTGTGAAGGGAGGGGAAGGGGAGGGGGCGGGGGGAGCGCCAGGCTGCTGGAGATAATGAAAAATGAAATACAGTGATTTTTGATTGATTGCAACCCCTACTATGGCGGAAGTGGGAAATAATTGATGCCCACTTCAACCACTGATTTGTCTAGGGGAAATTACATCGAGACAGCAGATGTCGTTCGTTTGATGACGAGTGGTGTCATTCAGAAGGGACAGGGTCGGACTGGCGGCCTAGGGAAATATTTAGGAAAGAATAAATGAGGGCACCTAAAACAAGGTTTGTTTTGATAATAGCTGCACCATAGTTATTAATAATTTTTAGGGTCGATGATCGAGGATGCTTTTGCGATGTTTTCGTCTGCTTCTTCTTGAAAACATGTCTGCTGCCATGTAATACTCACGAGGTGGGGCGATAAATCACTAACTTAGGGTCTTCGTGTTTTGCAAAGTGCTGAACGACAAGCAAACCAAGACATGCATGAATTATTTTTGTCTTATAGGCATGCTGCCGAAACTCACGTTCACCCAGCCTCGGGTGCTGAAGTTGAACTGTTTACACTTTATTTTTATTTTTAATGTTGGTGTAACCTTGAGTTGAGCCTGGGCGAGGTTAAAATCGATCTTATGAAATTAAATTGTCATGGTCAGAGTGCCTCCAGTGATGAAATGAAAACTTCATATTGATTTGTTTTGTTGAGATTGGCAGTTACGTCACACATTCAGGCGAATGTCGAAATTTAGCCTTCAAGGTATCCACGAAGCAGGTCTGCGTTGAGTTTGTACATTACGTTGAGGAGATCTGGTTCGAAATGCCACGAATTCTTTGCCATTTCTTTCCCTTTATGTCGCTGAATGCCTTGTCACCCTTGAATAATCAGGCCTATGTTAACGTTCAGATTCCTCGAACTTGGGTGAAGGATGCAGGCCTCCACATATTAGGGGTTTTGATCAATAGTTCTGTCTCAATGGCACTGGGTTCTTGTGCGTTGAGGCCTAACATAAACCCATTTCTCTGCCAAACCCATTGTGACCTTTGGGTAATGGACAGATATTACCATCAGTTTGTTATTTACCAGAGCAACTAGTTGTTCTCCATCCAATGGCATGTGCAGCCTTTCAACTGGGTCAAGGTGTCAGTCATTAGAGCTGCAAGTTCCCTTCCAGATTTCAATGCAGGTGGATCTCTTGTTGAATAATCAAGAAAATTGCTACATGTGACAGCATTGAGACAGTTGCTGACTGAATGCATGAAGTGGTGCTTCTGGCAATCCTACATGTGTACTCTCTTCCCTTCTCCAAGTTTTTACTGTCATGATATCAAACTTCAATTATTGGTATCTTATGCTAGTGAATGTCAAGGCCGTCCATGATACTTGGTATATTTCTTCTTTCATTCTGTCTGGCTGCACTTGCCATAGCAGTCTATATTACACTGGCACCTGTATATACATTTTAAGTTACTGTTTTTTTAAAACAAAAGATGCATCACTGTTGGTATGTAGGTGGTAGAATCTGTAAAGTGGTATCTATGATGACCAGAAATCAGATCTGTTCTGGATTGGCACTCTAGTTATATGATAGTATCAAGTCATTAAGTTATATAGCCTGGTCTGGTGGTGCAATTTCTTTTCAGATGGATTCCTGAATGTTCTAATTATTCATTCTCAGCAAATTGATGCTTTATGGATACTTTATGATTATTTAATAGTTACTTTACAATATAACATTGATGCCATTCTAGTGTCATGTTGGATCTTGCATAATGAACTTAGAGCTGTTCAAATGTTGCCCCTGAATGCAGTTGGACTGATCATGTTTTACCTTCTTAAACATTTCTTCATCCTGGTACCTAACTATGATAAGACATTTATGTTTTAACAAGTCCTAGAATGATTGAAAGGAAGTGAAATTATGTGTGTAGCAGGTTCCTTTCTGTATGAAGCATATATTTTTCCCAATTTTTTTTTTTTTTTATAGGAGTCCTTGACTGTCAAATGTATTGTGAGATCTAATATCTCATTGACCTCTGCTCCCCCTTTGTCAAGTATATAACAGCTTCTTTTTGATGTGTTCATATTTAGCATATCCTATTTTCTAGCATGAGCATAAGAGTTTCCATCATCATTCTCTCTTGCATTAGGTCTAAGCCTAGCCCTAACTGTAGAGAACAGTCCCTGTCATCTTCCAAGATGCCTTGAGAGTATGGCTTATTGGGAATATAAGCCAATGGTTCTAAATTAGATAAGATTTGTTTTAGGCATTTTCTATCTGCAGAGTCTTCTACATTTCATAGGTTCTGGTGATGTAAACTTTAAGCAATCTTTCCTCATTATCCCTTGCTTGTCTGGCATGACCTGTGGCTCCATTCAAGGTGGGGGTAGGTAGAGTGAAATAAATAGAAAATCACTGTGTTTTAGTCACCTTCTGTTACGCTGCCCTTTGGGAATGTTGCTCTTTAATATGTAATTCTCCCAACATCTCTACCTCTACCTACAAATGAAAAAACAGTGGCTCAGACAGGATTTCAACTCATGACCAACATTCAAAACATGGTGATATTCATTGAGCTACAATATCATGCCTGAATAGGACTGCAATTCTTGAGTTATTGGTACTTAGTAATGTTGGACCACCGCTAAACATTTGCAATGCTCTGGGCATTCCCATATTCTGTAAGGCTTAGCTGAACATTTTTCTAATTAAAGCCAAAGGCTTGAACTGAAACTTGTCTCAGATCTACAGTAGCCTTCCTCCTATGTCATTTATCCAAAAGGGCCTGTATAGGCAATGTTGGTCTCCATAATAAATACATGTTTCACTGTGGTTTGAAAATGGCTGCAGCTGTGAAGTGGTCAGGTGTATTACAAACCTCAGTGAATCAAAGTTTTTTTTGTAAGGTATATTTATAGTGGTCAGTCAACTAGGGACTGCTTGGTTGTGAATAAGAGATACAAATAGAAAACATGAGAAGATGCCCAATGAACACTTGAAATGTGAGTTTGCAATATTGAAGTGCTCTGCTAGAGATGGAGCTCTCTGCCTTGGTACTAAAATCCACAACTGGTAGCTAAGTACAAACCACTTCTTATGTGTAGTACATTATGAATAGAGTGTATGTTTAATAGGATGAAAGCTTCTGCTTCTCATGCTTGTTGCATGATTTTTCCAGGGAATGTAGGTGTGCCAGTCCATCTTTAGCATCAGTTGATGATGGTGTAGCATCTGGCAGTTGACTACCACTGAAACACTCCTTGCATTGATCTGACAACATCCTTGTGGTAGTGTGCTGCTACAGTTATCAAAATGGGCAACTGGGCCAATAAGTATTACCTGGATCCTTTGCACACACCCGATCACAGAAGTCCTCCAACTTTTGATTCAGCATATGGATTTCCGAATGGACGGAAAGCCAGAGGTGAGATTCCTCATGCAAGATATCAGCAAAAAATTGTAAAACATCTTATAATTTTGGATGTATGCTTTTATTATTTATTTTTTGCAGAGAATCATTGCTATTTGACTTAGGCTATATTGGTTTTCCTTGTCTATATATTTTATGTTCATATAATGGTGAAATAGAAACCTCTTGGGACATGTCATCTATCCATTCCAAAAACATTTTGATGCTGGAAATTCTGTAAGCTGTATTATAATTTAGATGCAAAAACTCTATCAGTTATCAAACTGATATCCAGGAAAAATCCTGTATATTGGGTTGATACTATATATATGAGATGATCCCTTTGGATATGGGTGGTAGGACTTAGATGGTGAAAATGTAGTGAATTTGATAGAGAATTTTTAGACAATCATTAATATCCAATATATGCCCCATCTTTCTCCATGACCTTCTTCAGCCCCTTGGTCATAGATGAAGCTAACATTTTCAGCAAAGTGGGGTCCAAGTTCATCCATTCTTCTTTGATCACATTTGTCATTCCCATCACAGTTTTGGGTTGGTGCTGCCTGACACCCTCTTTCATGATTGAGATCGGGGTTGGGTATAGCCCCAATCTCAATCCTATGGAGAACCTCTGGGCAACTCTGGGCACACTTGAACCCCACTTTGCTGAAAATGTTAGCTTCATCTATGACCTGAAGAAAGTCATGGAGAAAGATGAGGCATATATTGGATATTAATAATTGTCTAAAAATTCTCAATTAAATACCCTACATTTTCACCATCTAAGTCCAATTTTTTGTGTGAAAATGATTTTTTAAAATGGCATATTTTTTTGTTACACTCCCTAAGAGAAAATTTTAAGGAAACCTGAGGGCATTGTGGGTTAGAGCCACACAGGCCGTTGGTGAGCACCTAAAGGGCCACTTTTTGCCCATGTGGTATGGGTTGGGCACCACTGGTATAGACTTAGCAAGAAAAAAGATTGAAATTTTAAATTCAAATCATTAGTTGAATGTGAAAGTGAAAAATTGAAAAGTTTTTATGGCTTAAATCTACCAGAATCTACTGTCTCTGATATTCAGGCATGAGTACTAAGTCTTCCAGAGTTAAGATCTTTAAAGTTGGGTTTCTGTATCCCACAGTTTACTCAAGAAATTGTTAGAATTTTGCAATTATGCATATTATATCTTCTGCTTCCTTCTAGTTATGGTTGCAACAGAAGAGGAGATGAAGTCAGCTAAAATACCTCTTGAAGATCGTGACTATTGTGCTCATTATCTCATCAAGTATAAGGCTTGCAAAGCAAAGAATTGGCCTTGGGCAGTGAAGTGCAAGCATGAGAAGCACGAATGGGACTACTGTGAATATGAAGAGTAAGTGATGACCGACTTTCCATAATCTTATATCTTTCAGAGCAGTTATTATTATAGCAGTCATTTCAATTAGATTAATCAATTAAAGTTTTGATTGTGATTTTAAGAATTAGCTTAAATTAATCAGATTTCAATCAACTCCTCCCTCCTCAATATTCCCCCTGAATGCCTCTTTTTCCCAGTAAAATTTGACTGTGTAGTGCATAGTCTTCCACAATAACTGAAAATGAATTCTTTGTCAAGGGAATGAAATATAATGATGGCCTGTAGAAGGTTGTCATTTTCACACTGCTCACTCTTCAGCAAAAATGATTTATTTAAATCAAATAAAAAGGGAACTCAAAAACATATCCATTGCTTTCAGACTCTTCCAAAAAGAAGCTACATGCATGTTGGTTTTTTAAAATTTGTTTTAATCCCAACAAGTGAATGTCAATCTTGTCTGAGCATGATGTTGGTGTCACCAGAATTAGTAGCTGTCTGAATGGGGCCTCACAAAGGAAAAGGTTGTGAACCCCTGGAATAGGAGATTTGAGCAGGGATCACAAGGGACATGAGCAGCAGAAATGAGATCTAGGAAGAAAAGACTGTGGAGTGAAAGGCATGTAAGTGTGCTGGTGAAGGTGCATGAGAGCCCCAGGAAAGTGGACTAGAGAGGGAGAGAACTTGGGGGCAAGCAAGAGAAAACAAAAGTGTTAATACAGTGAAAACTTGTTAACTTGAACTTTTAGGGACCGGGCAAATCGTTTAGAGTTATCCGAAGTTCGAGTTATCAGGAATCGCCCCCCCCCCCCCAAAAAGAAAAAAAGAAACTCACGTTAAGGGACATAGGGAACAGAATGGCTCGAAATGAGAGCGATAGCTTGACAGAGCAAATGTTGGAGGCTTTTTTATAGCCGAAGCTTTTCAGGTTTAATCCTCTCCACAGGTGTCTGTGTGGGAGGAGGGAGAAGCAGAAAAAAGAAGAACAAAAGAAACAAAAGAGCATCCTCCCGAACGGGTTTCTTGTCATTCGTTCTATTCAAAAATCAAAAAGTCCCACGAGAAGAATTTTTCCCCCCCTTCTCACCCGGAATTAGAGTTAACCATGAGAAAATCGCTATAGGGAGTGAAAATTTCATTCGAGATATCTGGAAATTCGAGATAAGCGAATTCGAGTTAAATGAAGCTTTTAACATGGTGTCCTACGGGGTTCCGCCGGGACCAAGCATTGAACTTCGAGATAAGCGGAATTTCGACTTATCAGGATTCGAGTTAACGAGTTTTCACTGTATATATAATAGAAATTCATACCTGGTATATGTGCCAATAACAATTTTTATATATTTTTTAACATGGGTTTAAAATGCCAATTTGATTTTACACTAAGATAAAAGCTTCATCTGATCAGCCCAATTTATTTAACATGGAATGTGGATAGAAAAAGGAAGGTTCCTGCGAATTAGAAGCGAATTCTTATCTTTGATCACAACACATGCTCAAAATGGCTCCACGTTCTTGGACACAAATATGAGGTGACTGTCATTCCTGAAATGCTCCCTTGACAGCACTCAGCTCCAGATGTCTTGTGCTTTTTCTTATCCTTCAAGTTTTAAATGGTGTAAGCATGTGACATATTATGTCAATTTCAATAAAATTTGGCAAAAACCTTCTTTCTTCTATCTAAATGCAGTTTATGAAACATTGGACCAATTGGATAAAAGTTACTATAATTCCTACAAAAAAAAAGAATTGGCAGTTTCTTTTAAAAACAGTGTAGAATATAGGACCCCCAAAGAGCCTAAAAAATGCAAGAAAAAAGAAGGGCCACCACTAAAGCCACTTCATATCAGAAACAAGATACACCAAGAACTGGTCTTTCCTTTTTATTATGGGGTGTCCATAAGGTGAGAAAATCTATGGGCAACTTCAATATTGAATCAGAAGTTACTATTTATTTAGACTGACTAGACCTTGGAATGATGTCGTATCATTCCATCCACTTTGGTGTGATTCAGAATGAAATTTCCAGACCCTAATTGAGGTTTCAGCAAACTAAAATGGTGCTTCAGCATGTTCTCCATTTGTGAAAAATTCAAATTTAACATATATTCTAGTAGTGGAACAAATGGTTCTTACACTTGCTGATAATTTTGATTCACATTTCCTCAGGAAAAGAGGGGTATAATGCCTCTTACTCAATGAGACCTCAAGCAAAGGAAAATTGCACCCTTTCTGACTTGGAGAAATAAGAATTATTGATGAATGAATAACTTTGAAGAATGCCAATGAAGAATTCCAAATGACTCATCATCATCAACACCTACCATAACTAATCATAACTAACTGAACTGGATTTGACCAAAAAAAATTAGAAGTTAATTTACCTGGACATCAATCCATGAGCCAGTGTTGAGGGCTTCCTCAACCATCCCCTCAATCTGGTCAAGGAGAGCAGGTCCACAGCAGACTGTAGGCAGGAATACCATGTCCTCTTTCGTAGAACCAAATGTCTTCTTCACATAACTCTCTGCATCAGTGATCCCAAGCCTCCTCAAAGCATCATATTCTACATAGATCATTTCTTATGCAAACATGGCTTCAGATATCACTTGTTGCATTGATGAACTTGAAAGCTCACCAAGATATCCATTCTGGCGAAAAAAGTCTGTCACCCATTGATTCTGAGAACGTGCATGAAGCTCTGGTATGAACACAGATTTGGCTGACTGTCTGCCTCCTGAAATGCTACCAGCAATGCGCTTGGTGTGAATCAGTTCCTCTGCAATTGCTGTGGCCAAACAATCATGTTTGCTTTTATAAATCTGCCCTGTCATAAAAGTATTAAGCTCGAGGAAGTGAGCATGCATTTCCCAGTGGCTTAAGAAAGAAAGAGATTTAAAACATGCATTAGAGAGATTACATTCCCCAATGTGACATTTGAGAGAATGAGTTAAATGAATCAGATGCAATTCAGCCATGGAAGGCTGGAACATAGACAATATGGCTTAATATCTCACTCTTTTCTGCAGAAATAGAGGGAAATTATAATTCACATTCAGAGCAGCAGGATAATTAAGAAGGAAAAAAGTTCAGATCATGTTCATTTGGCTTCTCATCATTGTATACGATCCACATAACCCTCATTCCATATGAGGACCAAGAGTACCTTCTCTTACCAGATTGATGTTACCCATTTTTGTCCTATATCTCCATTGAAGTGAAAGTACATTACTTAGGCTAGGCATGCCTACTATTAGCTGAGAGTCATTTTCATTTCAGCCTGTTTGCCTGCTGGTAAAGTAGATTTGCCTGCTAGACTGTTGGCTGGCCTTCGAAAGAACATATGAATGGATGAAAAATTCTCAGGGTGGAAAGACTGACTTACAATAAAAGAGGTGTTCAGGGAAGCCACCATATGAGATGAGATTAGAACATGGCACAGGACGTGTGACAGCTGACAAGAGCCCTCGGATCCTGCCTCGATTGCGAGAAACATATGCCTCGGTAAAGAACAATTTTGGATTGGTAGGATCTTGTTGTCCTTGAAGAAGGCCACCTAAACGATGCTCCAATTGCTGCCACAGTAAATTTTGCAAATTAAAATTCCTGAAAGTCAAATGAAGATAAGCTTAAATCAGTGGTTCTCAACCTTCCTTTTACTCCCATTGAACCTTCATGCATTCGGGGGGTGACACCTCCCAGGTTGAGAACCACTGGCTTAAATGACAAGTTCATGTAAAAAACCTTCAGGAGGAAATCAGCAGGGATGTCATAGGACTTTGTGAGTTCAGACACTGAGATACGACCATCTTGCTGGAGCTTGTCATTGATCTCTTCAGTCAGTCGATCCAAATAATCAGAATTGAGCAGCTGACCCAGGACAAGATACAAAGAATTATCATGAGAAACTAGGTCTTGAACCTTGCTCTCAACCACTGGGTAATCCACACGAAGTATCTGGGATAGATCTGCCAAGTTCATCCGCCCTGAAACAAGGGAATCAAAAAATGAGCAGACTTTAAAAAATCAGCATTTGAGACTGAAACACAAAAAGCCCACCTCCATGCACAAACAATTCATCCCGAATCTCCCTTCCAAGTTGAGCTGGAGTGATGTATTCCTTCCCATCTGATGTATGGAACACATCAAGTAATTTCAACTGCAACAGCTTGCTCACTATCTCAATGCAGTTGCGCTCTGAAAGCCTTTTAAGAAACAAAATTCATGAAATACAAGGTGATTATGCATTTCTTAGGGTAAGAAAAGTTTAATATGGCTCCAAAAACTCCCACAACCAATTCCAATCATTGTCCAACATTACAGACTATGGTTCTCAAATGTTGCAGCAAAAGGACTCTACTTCTCAGTGAATGGCATCCTTCAGTTGAGATAATGAAGCCTGATTATTGAGAGACATCCATACATTCAGTTACCCTCAAAACCAAACATTTGCTGGGTTTTGGATCTGGTGATTTGGGTGAGGGCTACTGGGTCAAAAAATGCCTACTTATGACACTATCACAAAAAATATCTTTGAACATTATTTTTACAAGAGTCACAATCAAATGCGGTGTGTCATCATGCATTCCATATGCCAAATCTCTGACAATGAAAATATGCACTACTGCCTTTCTTCAATCAACTGCTATGGCCTTCAGCAACCAGGCATCATTACCAGAACTGAAGGATCCCAACTGCTGAGAAGTAAAGCACATTCACTATGACATGTTGAGAGCTGCAGCTGCAATGTCAGATACTGTTAGGGAGCAGTTTTGGAGCTTTGAGGGGGTCATTTCTTACCACTGCTGGCATGATGTCATACATGACATCATGCCTGCAGTACCTCCTAAAAGGCATGCTATTCTTTATTGCAAGAGGTTCTCCCATGGTGTGCTAATGCAACTCCCAAAGTTTAATTTAACTGTGGTGCACAGCTTTAGTTCTAGAATGTTATACAGGGTGGACCAGAAGTAATGACTCACTCTTTAAAACACATAACTTGGGAACATATTTTCACCAAACAACTTGCATTAGGTAGCAATATCAATCTGCAAAACTAGCCACACAGGAAGCAACATGGCATATGTATGCCTGCCTCTTGAAAAAAAAAAAAAAAGTTTCCTGTGTGAGTTTATTTCCATAATAGACAATGTTACAGAGGCACAAGGAAGAATGCGACAGGAATTTGGATATGCAGTGCCAATGCAGAAGACAATCAAACACCTAAACAAAGTATTTGATGAAACAGGAACAATGTTGGACAGGAAATGCTTTCGTAGGCCAAGGAGAGTTTATGGCCTGGAAAATGTGGCACGCATTATTGAAGCGTTTGCAACCTCAACCACCAAGTCTGAGTCATCACAATGTCTTTCATCCCTATTGGATATCATTGTCCAACACTGTTCCTGTTTTGTCAGGTACTTTGCTCAGACACTTGATTGTCTTCTGCACAGGCACTGGCTCTCTAAATTCCTGTTGCATTCTCCTTAGTACATCCATAACATTGTTAAGGAAAAGAATCTCACACAACAAACCTTTCTTATTTCAAGAGGCAGGTGAACACTATGTTGCTTCATGAGCAGCCAGTGCTGCAGATTGATATTGCTACCCAACACAAGTTGTGTGGTGGAAATGCATGTAACTGTTCTAACAACCATTCTGAAATAGTGTTTTAAAGAGTGAGTCATTACTTCTGGCCCACCCTGTATATATGCATAACACAAAGACCACATAGTATTTCACCATCTATTTACCTTGAAGTTAAACAAAATGATATAAGTTCCTGGGACTTCTTTAGGGAAAAAAAATGCACTTTACTCTCTGAAATGGGAGAGGAAGACAAGTATGATAAGGCTTTTCTTATACTTCAGATGTTACCATTGAGCATTACTTGAGTTGCAGAGTAGAAAAATGAAAGGATTCCTACTGAATTTTGGGAAAATTTCTCAGTGAAATAGTGATTGCCAAAATAAAAAATTTCTCCTGGAATAAAAAGGTACAAACTCTTGCTAAGGCTTTCCTTCAGAGGATCATACTTAACTTTGCGGGGGTTGATTTTTAACTCACTTCTGAGAAGCAGATGTTAGTTGAGCTCGCTGGAAGTCAGCAGCAAGTCGTTTCACTTCTTCCCAGTCTCCAGCAGACATAATGCTTTGTGATGAACTAGGAACAAGCCTAGAAGAGGAGTATAGAAACTGAAAGAAATATTACAAACTCCTCAGGGAAAGTAAAAAATTTGCTTGATGTACCATATCTGAAATACACAAGCAACACTCCCAGGTCTCAATGTGTTTTAGAAACCTTGCTTCAAAAGCAACATGGGAATACCACTACATTTTATATGACTCCTCTGTTTAGCATAGTCTTTATTGATAATCACACACTCCTCACTAATGCTCATGCATGCAGCCTGGCACAAACACAAAATTAATATGGTGAGAAGTATCACAGTCTGAACAGACTCAGTCCACAAGTCTAGTTCACTTGGAGTCAATTCTCTTGTCTCGAATGATGACAGAGTCTTCAAACTTGATCATGAATGTTGTACCTTTATGCCAATGTGTTGTCACCTTGCAGGGCTGCAAAAAAATAGTTCTCATACAAACTCCTCTCTTACCCAGATTCTAGTTTAAGATGTTTCAATGACTTACAAATCCAGATCCAGTAAGAGTGGCCTCCACAATACCAGCCATGAAAGCAGCACAGTTCAGTGTCCCCTTATCTTTGGGCATGGAGACTGAGATGAATCGATTAACAAAGGGATCTTTCTCTATTAAATAATAAGTTCGCTCATCATCATTGGAATGCTCCAGCTTGTCAGCCTCTTTCCCAAAGAGTGTCTGGAAGAGATATCATCAGTCAGTAAAAGAAAAGAGTCTGAAAAAAAAATCTGAATGTCTACACCATGCAATAACTGACCTTCCACACAGTCTGCTTAACAAACAATAGGATCTTGATTATCTTGATCTCTCGCTTGCTGCTCTGCTCTCTCACAAAAAGAAGGTCCAGCATACGAAGTCCAACTTGCTGCCCCAAATCTGACAATCTAATAGTGATGAAAAAAAAACAATGTTCTAAAACCTAAGTAAATATTACCAAAAATTTTAAACCAGAAAATAGATTCATATCCTTTTCACATGAGATTGGCTTTAAAAGCTACTATGTCACACTGTCAACAGAATAGCTTTATAATGCAATAAGTAGGAATTCTCATCAAGTGAACCAATTGATTTAAAATTTCCTATAACTAGCCCTATAATGTTCCTGGATTGACATTCCCCCTGTTTAAATGGGTTCCATACTTGTCTATGGTCTTTTGAAAGGCTTGTTTCCTCATCCTTAAAATAGATGTTCTTTTTATGCACTGACTCATTGTTATACTCCCTGGAGATTTTTATTTGCTGAATTTTCATGGTTAGGCTTGATTGGGCCCAACTCATAACTTGTGGTAGGGCAGAGTTCCAAGGCCCTGCCTTGAATAATGCTGATGGAGTGCCAAAAGAAAACAGACACCTGAAACTTGCCAAAGCATGGATTTTTTACACCTCTTCCTCTCTCTCACTCTCTCCACAAAAACTTTCATTCTTGTTTTCTCTCTATGAAGGGTGGGTTTGCATCAGCACAAGGGATGTGTATCAGTAATAAAGTGTCAATACTGCAATAATGCAACGATATTGAATTTTGGCTGATATCTGATATACCGATAATTCCGATATTGGAAAAAAACCGATACCGATAACCAATACTGATATCTATATCTACATTTATATTCGCACATTCTGGGTAGATTTTGAACAGTGAACTATCCGATAATGCAGCTTTATTTCCAGGAAATATGTATTTTCCCCAGAATAAAGCTGCATTATCGGATAGTTCTCTGTTCAAAAATCCACCCTCAGGCATTAACCCCTCCACTGTTAAGCTTTATTTGGGACTAGGTCTGATGGGGAAAGCTTGGTGCACCTCATGCTTTTGCCATTTCTCCAATAGTGAGAATAAATGTTTTATTCATGCTGAAGCCAGGCTCTTCAATGTGGATTTTAAAAATATTACATTGGATTTGCATCAGGCATTTTCTTTCCTATGTTCCATCCTAGATCTTGCAATAAGGTGGAATACCAATTACTTTTTTTTTTTCAAAGTAGCACTCAGTTCAGAAAATGTCAAGAATGTCAAAGTTCACTCCTTCATACCTCTAAATCGACACCCAGACAGACATGACTGACAAATTGTTAACACATTAGATAATTTGCCATGAAGATGAAATGCAAACATAACTGCTTTTCAGGGAAATTTCTAAGGCAATCAATCATATTTATTATATTGGGTTGGAAAGAAAGTCTTGCAACACTCTGTGCAAATTTGTCAAAATTTTGTAACTTTATTGAAATGCAATTTCAGTCTACAATGTAATGACTAATAGTTTTAGAAAGTGTTGCAAGACTTTCTTTACAACCCAATATTACATAAATTTTTATCTCCGAAGATATTTATGTAATACATTATATTATAAATATTCAAATATAAATTATGACAAATATTTTAAATAAATTAGGGCTGCACCGACGTATTGACAACCACAGAGATTGGCCTCTGGTGTTGCACCATTGACGCCATGGCTACAGTAAGGTTGGAAGCTGTCGATGCCGAAGCCTGAAGGAGGGCAAAATGCAAAAAAAAAACTACGTTGAGTGTGTGAGCGCGGCTTGTTGCCGGCCATCCTGTCTCACTGAAAGCCTCCATGCCGCCCTCTCCCAGAAAAAAAAAATAGATCATATTATATGAGGAGTCCTAGATTTGCGTCGTTCCGATATAACGTCGTAAATCGAGGACTTCCTGCATATAATTTAGTCCATGGGAAAATAGGTTTCGTTTTACGTCGTGTTTTCCGGGAACGCATCCACGACGTAAATCGAGGACTTACTGTATTTCAGCCCGATTGTAGTAACTGTTGGAGGAAAATCGCCGTAAAGACCGTGAAATCATTGCATATCCTTTCATGCTGTGCATTAGCGAGTGGTGTCGTTAAGCGCTCATATCAGCAATAGGTAACCATGACGGACGCAGCCAGGCTGGAAAGGTCTAAAAGTGGTCTCAATCGTTTTCAAGAGACTCATTCATTAGTATCATAAGGCTTCCAAATAGGCCTATTTGAATTCGTATGCGATTTCATGTTACTTTCGCAATCTATAGAGTATAAATCATTATCGGCTCCGGCACCGGTCGATGGGTAGGAGTTCAAAATGCGCCATCAGTCTACCGGTCAAATGTGGCCATCGGCACATTCCTAACATGAATATAAAGATGATAAAATTCTTGAAAATCGGTGGTTCCAAATTGAACCTCTGGGCAGGAAAGAGTTGAAATCAGATTAGTCTAGTGATTTTTGTACCGAGGTTTTGGGATCCATCTAGGCCTGGGTTTTTCGCGCTAACATAAGCGATGTCTATTTTCGCAGAAAGTAAGGAGTAGGCTATGGTAGTGGCATTAGGTCGAGTTAAGTAGATGACGCTTCTCATCTCTCTCTCGGGTGACTGGTAATGAGCTTATGTCCCGTGACAGGGTTGCCTGGGCTCGAACCTAGCCAAGTCAAGTGTATATTTCCTAGTTCAAGCGCCAGCGACGAACCCTTCCCTCATGGACTCGTGTCTCGCGAGGGTAGAGATCTACACCCTGCAACTCCTTGGCCGGCAGTGAAGGTCGAATCCCAGGGGAATCCCAATCCAAAGGGGGAAAATGCTTACATTTTTTAGCCTAATACTTCTTTTTTTTATGGGTCATTTAGGCATTTTCAACCTTCTGCAGTGTTTTCACTTGAGTTGGACATTTTTTCACTTGACTTCGACACTCATGCATGAAGAACGTCTCATGAACGTGTGTTCGGGTCAAGTGAAATGTCAAATGGGAAAAATGAGAGAATATTCATCATTCGCTTTACATACTTGGCGTTTGGCATACTTCAAGTGTAATTTCAATATCGGTTATCGGCAGGTCATATATCGTTTTAGGCCGATATATCGGCTTCACCTAATATCGGCCGATACCGATAATCGATAAAATATCGTTGCATCTCTAGTCAATACAGGTATTCCTGGAATCATTTCATATATAGAACATACCACTATGATCTTATTTATAATAACATTAGCTAGAAGAAGAATTTAAAAAAAGGTCTGGTTGACTATTAAAGGTTTCCTTCTTAGAGAGAATATTATATACACACTCTTTCCAATACAATGACTTTGTTTCATGCACATTGCATGCCAGCAACACGTTCTATCTTGCATTTCCAAGAAGCAAGTAATAAGGACATTTGAGGGCAGTATCATGTATGTCCACTGAAGGCCTAGGCTCAGGGTGTGCATAAATTTGCATCACCGACAGGTAATAGATTTTTATGCAAATGCACATTTTTATGCAGCATCATTGGGACATATGACCCAGATAGAGTTTATTATTTGGAGAAAAAGCAACTTATGCCATTTTAAATGACATAAAAATGCATACCTCATTATTTTTGCACACTTACACATATTTCAGCATCTATCAGTGCATAAAATCAGCTCCATAGTGATGATTAAATTACTCTACTCAGTTCTGTCATACTAAACTCTGGAGCAGAGATGTACACATTGAGGTGTATAAGCCACTGGCCAGAATGCAACATTTCGAGGCCCAAGTTTTTATTCTCCCACAATAGAATGGATTGTGGGTGAGAATTTGAGGACAGTCAGTGTTTGGCTTTTTCTTTAAAAATTTTTTTTCTGGACACCTGATTTGATCTGAATCAGCCTGTTTGGCATCTATGCCCTTGCATCCATAATATGTTTTATGATAAAAACATGGAAAATCCCAAGGTACTTCTCATAGATACATGTTCTACTATATCCATAGTAACCTAAGAACCTAACACACTCAGATTAAATGCAGAAAAATCCCCTTTATTGGAGCTTAATTACCCCCCTAGTCTTTCTCAGAGTTACACCTGATTCCTTTGCCCTAGGTCAACATGAAGCATAGTGGTACTTCAAGACCCACAAGCAAAAACTGAAAGCTACATCCTGGTGAACCTAGCTTACACTGATGGGAAAGAAAACAATTTTGCTAAGAGTTATTTCATTGATTCTCAGGGATATGAATGAGCCCTAGCCCATATATCCATTTAAGAATTTTATTTATCCTTAAACATTTTTAATCACTTGCCTTTTCCCTGCCTTGAAGTCTTTTGGCACTGAGGGTGCCCTTTGCACCTCCCCTTGACCTCAGCTATCCTATTCATTCTACATGATCTTAAAGGAAGGGATTTAACATATCTCAAGATGCAGTGTGACTACTAATTAACTATCTCATTCCCTTAATCTTTGCTTCCTACAAAGAGGCCTTATCAAATAGAAAATCAGGAATGGATGAAAATGGAACTGCACAAAACACAACAAACTGCATTTAAGAATTAAATACACTGATAAGAATCAGAAAACATGACTGGAGCAGCAATACACTATTTTTTAATTGAATTATTACCCTGCCTAGGAGTGCTTCCATCAAGAGCAGATAGAAAGTTAAGTATTACTAGAATCCTTCGTAGGTGCTTGATTCCTGATCTGTGGAGCTCTGCATAGTTGTTTGGGTGCAAATTTCACCAGCTTATAAACAACACAGATTCAGATCTGGCCAAACTCATGAGAATGAATTAACATTTATGTTGAGGACACCTGGGTTTCTGACAGCAGACAAAAGAGTCAACCTAGGAAATATAACAAGGAATAGTACTCAGAAATGGAGAAATGAGAGCAAGAAAGCAAGGTGTTTCAAAGAGGTCAGGGAAAGGGGATATAATAGTGGCCAGCCAGAACCACAGGAGCTGAGAATCTCATAGGGGCTGTTGGCAACAGTTTTGCATAGAACTCTACTGTTGGCAGCACTGGGTCTATTCTCTATGAGATTGAACGTTTTACTGCATTGGTGTTGGGTCTTCCTTTGCTGAGAAGGGTTGAAAACAGGAAGCAAAAAGGCATTTGATGCATGTGGTCATCCCAATGTTTTTTATGATAAATAATCTGAATTACTGTGATAATTGTCACAAGAATCATGATTCATGAAGCCTCTTCCTGCTGAGGGGGTCTACAAGCTTCAGTTGTCTCCACAGAGATGATGTTCAATGACATGCAGTCATGTTTGAAGATGGAACACCATTTTACCAAGGAAGAATGACATCCTGAGAACTGAAGAATTTCCTTCCATTTTTTTTTAAACCTAATTTTATTTGCCAGAAAATAAAAGTGTATTTTCTTCTCTATGGTCTTCCCAATCATCTGGAAATCTTGTGTTTTCCCTGTTCTCCACAATAGGGCAGTACCACTTCATTCCAAAAACAGTTTAGCAGCATTAGAGCATTGGGCATCTATAAGCCATAACTTCAAGTCATGCATGTCAGATATCAACAAGGGGAATTTTATTGCACTGCTGTATTAATGTGAAATATCAATCCAAAACACCACAGGCATAGGCCTGTGCTCCCTGAGCCCCAATCTATGGCCAAATAGTGTTTCTCATTCAAATTCAACAGGTTTTCATCCAACATGCCATCGGCAGAGTAATCTTACCTTACCTTCATGCAACAGTTTCACTGTCAAATTACAATATTTTAAGATTTGACTTCATGAGCGTTATGGTTAAATTGAAACTTCCAGAAGATATTTTGACTTACTTATTTTGCAGCTCAGGCACTGTATAGGATCTATTCTGGCAATATTGGACGATCTCAGAGAAGAGGAGAGCGAAACTGCTCACGTGGACTTCTCCCTTCCCCTTACTCAAGTTTCTGTCCAATATACTGGTTTTCGGCTTTATTATAGACATCTAGAACGAAGAGGGTGATGATTAAAACGCTTGACATGCGTACAAGGCTATTCATTACTGTATCTAGGCTATCTGGTCAAATCGAAACAGTTCAGGATTGCAGTCCAACTGCTGAGCTAAGAGATTCCAACAGAGCACATGGAGAAAATGATGGGAGCCACGTCTTCCGTATGTCTTGACGTTTACTACAGGGTTGCCAACGTCACGAACTGTATTCTGTGTTGCGAGTACAAGTCCCCCATGCATGCAGCAGAGTGAGCTACAGACCTACTCAAAAAAATTAAAAACCGAACGGGTTTGCTTTCATGTAGAAACATGATTCGAACATATGGATACAAAGCTAAATACAGGATTCACAGCTCTGGCGGCTAGTTCATAGTGAAGTCCCCTTGGCTTTCACAGGGCGCATTCAGTTATGACTCGGATCATGACTCGAGGTTCATGATTCTCGGCAAGTGCGGCGCTCTGTAACAAATTAACAGATGTTGATCAACCTGGGCGGTCGAGACCATTTCCACCTTTGTCGCGGAGAAATAGACTTGTGGAAGGTAGGAAGCAGGGGAAGAGGCAGGGACCCGAATTCCGGTACTCACAGAGATATCTGAGATCTTCATTCAGCCCGCACTACCCTTTATCTCAGTCTATCTTCACTTGGCGACATTGATGACAGCTTGATTTCAGGCTACATCTACCTGTGAAATGGCAGTCTGTTGTGGGTCTCGTGGATGATATACTTGAAACTTTATATAGTGGATTCCGCTTTATTGGGACACGTTGGTTCCAGGTCGTTTTGCCCCAATTAAGCGGCTGCCCCAATAAAGCGAAGTTACCTCATAGTAAAGAATAGTGAGAAACCCAGACACGAATGCCCTTTCCCGTTATTTGCAAAAAACCTTGTTTCACGCCTGAAAAAGCTTTTCTAAAGACTTCTTCAGCACAAGTGTCAAGAGCAGCATGTGCTGTATTGCCCAATCCTTGATCAATAAAGTAGCGCCGAAGGATCTCCACTGAGCGCCTGGCCTCAACGTGAGTCACCTTCGATGAAGTCTCAGGCTCCTCGTCTGCGTCATCCCCCAAACGAGGTCTTTTGGCAACAATTTCCTTGCCGATATCGTTTTCGAAGTCATCGCATTCGGCGAAGCATGGTGCGTGTTCGTCGATGTTGACTTAGGCTTCTCCGTTAGTGACATCAAGAAAGACCGAACCTTCCTGAAAGGTCGACGCTGGCACCTCCGGTCCAGAATGAAAGCCAGCCCCACGGAAGGAATTTGCGATGGTCACTGACTCGACAGCCCGCCAGCTCTGAGCCACAAAGCGAACGGCGTCGAAAGAGCGAGACCTGAGAACTTCACGTCGATGGCCACTGACGACGGCCTCATCAGGTTGTCTTCGATAGCTGCAAGAATCATCTCCCCGTGTTCCTTCCTGTAAAGAGTCTTCAGATTCCCGATGACACCCTGGTCCATCGACTGGATGATCGACGTCGCGTTTGGGGGCAGGAATTCCAGTCGTATGTTCTTCAACGTGGAATTTAACCTTGTCCAAGAGCACGATCTCCTCACAGGGACAAATCCTTGCGTTTCGACATCTTGAACACTGATGTGGACTCCAATCCCGGACAGACGGCTTAAATCCACCGAAAACGAAGAAACCCACCCAGGACTACTGCCTAAAATCCCCAGAAAAAAAAAGGAAAAACCCAACCCGAACTAATGGCTCAAATCCGCAGAAGAAACGGCAAAACCCATCTCAGACCGACGGCTGCCCCCCGACCCCGACCTTGCCCCAATAAAGCGGATTTTCGTCCCGAATATGCGGCGAAATTTTAATGCACTTGCATAGAAATGATTCCGTTCCTGACAAAATGTCCCGATAAACCGGCTGCCCCATTAACCGATGGCCCAATTAAGCGGAATCCAATGTATTTCATGTCGAGAGAAAAACTGCTCACAAGACTGATCTCACCTCACTTCAACAAGATTTTCATCTCACCTCCCCAAGTAACACAAGATATTCCAGCAACGTTTAGGAAATGTTGATGTTGAATGTTGCATCTATGTGTAAATGTCCAAAACGTCAACGTTACTCAAATGTTGGGAAGGAACATTGCATTTACGTTGCAAATCGTTATTTATTCATTACATATACGTTGCAGAAACGTTTCAGGATTTATGTTGCTGCAATGTTGATTAAAAACGTTGCTTCACGGGCTCCTAATCTGGGCCTATATTGGCATTATGGAAAAGCATAGGGTTCACTGGTCCTGAACTGGACCGATATTCGGCCAATATTGAATTATTTATTTCATCATTTCGTACCATATACTTTACCTCTCTACCCAGACATTCCCATCAACAGGACGAAGCCTGTACTTGTATAAACCCTACCCACGTATAATACAATATCTGTATCATGTACAGGCAGGAGACATAGTACATTTTTGGAGGTGATCTTCCCCTGGATGTGCAAAATATGACACATTACAGGAAAAGGTCCGACCGTAATGTTCTATGAAAGGTTCCACGAAATCAGTCCTTCTTTTCGTCGTTTAGTTCTCAGGATGAGGATATGAATGACTGAAATAATAGACTCTACCATAGTTTTATTGTCCTTTAGGATGCAATCGACGAGTATCTTGGAAAGGGTTCTTTTTGGCAATGAGTTTTTTATCTTGACCCCATGAATCTGTCTCGAATATGAGGATAACAAGTGATGGTCACCCTTACCGAAAAAAGAGCAAGAGCGAAAATGTTAGACAGAGGTTGCCTAGCTGTCTCCCCACCCCTCAACCTCGTGCGCTCTTCGCACAGACAGAGCACGTGTTTATACGTTGAGAGCGTGGTCATTGAAGCAATGTTTTCTCAATGTTGTACAGCAACTTGCAACATAGAGCAACATAGGCAGCATTTCGAAAACGTTTCATCAACATACTGTGTTACTTGGGTCTTCACCCTCTATGCGCATGTGATTTGTAAAAATTAATATCCGGTATTAACACCGGATCAGTGGTTAAACGAGCTCACGGCATTTGCCAGGATTTTTCGCAGGCCGTCCGAGACGAATAAGTTAATGAGATGTTTGACTCCATTGCAGCAGAAGTCTTCCTTTGATATTATTGGTGCTGCACGCGCCGTGTCTTTCATATGGTCCTATGGCTTTTGGATGTGACGACCTGAAGCGATCGGTGCAGAAGGCACACAGAAAGGAGATAAAATGCCGCTTTCAACACACCTGTTTTTCGAGGATAATAGACTTCTCTACTGGCTACACGCGCTACACGGCTGCACGTGCTGGCTGTATGTACTCGACTGTCCCAGGCATTAATGAAACAAGAAATTCTTTAGGCGAATTTTCAGTCGGGCGGTATTTAATGGCGCGATTTTGAATCGCCTTCGGTTTTTCTAGCGAAAGCCGAATCGCCAATCTCGAGAGGAATTTTTCTTCCCTTACGGTGCTTCAGTAATCACAGCGTCTTCCATGAACCATGCGTTTTGCCATGTGACGATGTCTTAGCCGCAATCATTCTGATAGATGAAGCTTTCATTATGGGAGAAAATAGGAGAAAATAGAACCATGTCCTGTAATCCGTGGGTGACAAAGGCAGTAGAGGACCTTTTGAATCGCTGCCTTTCTTCAAGAAAACGAATGTCCAAGCTTGGTTTACGTTCCATCGGAAAGAGTATACGTCAGAAAATCCGTGAAGAAAAGGGTGGGAAAGAGGGAGAAAGAATCGAGATCGCAGCATTATTTTTTATTTCGAATACTGTCAATCGGCGTTAAAAATGTTCCGATCTTTGTTAGCATAACAATACCTTCATTATTCAATCGCCCTTCATAGAGGAGAAAGTCTGGAGTGGGTGGAAAAGGCAACTCATTCAACGCGTTGGCACAAATTCTTTCTTCAGTAATAGCATGGAGTTCTCTTAGTATGCTTTCCAGAGACTTTATTATGTCGCGATTTCACAAAATTGTATATTCTTTAAAGTCTTCGTTATCGTTCTTTAAAATTTAATTTGAAATAAATATAGATCTTACCTTTACAAAGAATCTCTCATCGAATTTTTCCTATGCATTTGTATCAATACACAGGTAGTTTTTCGCTTCACTTTCTTGGTTGCATCTGCATAGTTTTCATAACTTATTTTAATTATTTTCTGCCGTCTTTTCCTGCAATAAATTTCATCATGCTTTTTTAAATGAATACTTTCTATGAATAATTTATCGTTTCAAATTCCCGATAGTCAATATCAGACGCCATGAGGTATGATTACAAATTGCGAGAAGAGAAATACTCCTGCTCATGTATGACATCGCTGTCACCTTCCACAACACAAAACTACTCTTACCTCCTGTAAATATACACAAGACTTACGTTGCACTGTGATTTGTGCTGCGTTGTAGCAGCAGATATAAAGGCATGATCGGGTGCTGTGACTTTGCTCACATGTGACTGCTCACATAAGGAGGCATTTCCTCTGAGCAGGTGACCAAACAGATATGAGAAAACCTTATGAATTTTTAAGACCTTTCCTGTGCGCTCTCAGTTTCTAGCGCAAAGCATTTCTTCGCTCATGGCCGCTTTAGGATGTAATTTACAGACAGCAGATGGAGACAGTTAGTCACACTGCTGCTGTTTGGGACTATGCTGAGAAAATTTTTAGGATGCTATTGATTTCAAATCACGAGAGAATTGTTCAGGTGTGAAAGTGACTACGGAGGCGAGAAAACGAGATAAAAAATTTTCGTTCAGATTCTTCCAAGGGCTACTTGCCCATTCGTCATCAGAAGCACTGTTGAATTCGTTGAAAAGGTATAAGCCGTGTCAGCAAAATTTGTATTATGATCTGTGGCGACTCGTGATGTGCAGCAGTAGTACCTCGTCATTGCAGGCAGAGTAAGCACTGCCTACCCTGTCTTCATTCGAGAACTACCATTGCTCTTCAGATCATGAGCCACCACTGATCATGATATTCTCTCGATGCCGTCTTCCGTTATGTATGTCCATGAAGGATTCCATCACCTTATTGGAATGATTGCCATGTGGCAGGAGGGGGTAAGTCCAAACCATCCTGACTGACCGCACCAACCAATCAACGGGCATCTTTCCTATCGGTGATCACGAGAGAGCGATAGAAATCTGGCTACTAGATGAGTAGGCGTGCGACTTCCATATGAATCTATGACTCGCTCACAGATCACAGTTACACCGAGTTCATAGCTCATATATGAACAGTCACAAACGAGGAAAATCAATGCGTCTAGTCGTGTCATTGTAGACGATGTTCATGTGTGAGACATTGCGGAATCCATGCACACGTTCTCTCGTGACCAGTGAAGCAATTTTCCTCGCCGTGACGTCGCGGAGCGGCTGCGAAAGTCACGGGGAATGATTGCAGTCGGGAAGGAATGGGTTCGGGAAAGTGACCCAAAGGGATTCGTCGTTGAATCATGATGACTGCGCGAATCGATTCGAGAGAGAAGGAAAAGAAGTGGTTATGTTCTTCTGCCGTCCATCATGGACCGGTATCAGCTGGTTCCGGTCGGAATCTTCATTCTTTCTTTCCTCCATTCGACTGCATCGGGCCAGTCGGATGACGGAGTGTGCCAGTTGGATTGCATGTTTAGGCCACATCCGGCCGCACTCGTTGACGTCCGCGAAGAACCACAAAATTCGTTAGTGAAGGTGGAGGAAGAGCCAGAAGTGCGCAGTAAAGGGCGAGTTCTCTTCACCTTGTGGTCCTTGGATGGTGAGTCCAAAGTTTCTATTTTCAGTCTCTCGAATCGTGGTGAACTGATTTGCCGAATGACACAAAACGAAGCAAAGAATCCGTCTGGATGATCTGGGCAGACTCGCGTAGGTACTAAGTTCTGGAGAGAGGTGCCTCTTTTCGCGCACGCCTCGCTAATAATAAAGCCGCGGCGCTGCATTTGTGAGCATGGAGAATATCTTCCGCATGAGAAGTCCATGGGAAGAAGGCCTGTAGTTCGCTTGACTCGGTCAAATGTCCTTTTTTCAACGGGGATATAGGGTACCGGAACATATTTCGACCATTAAAAAAAGAGTATTAGCAGGAAATGATCTGGAGTGAGGCTTCCTCAATGCTCAACACGTTGACCGCCACGGTCTTATTGACCTGGTGACATTCCTGGGCCAAAATACATTTTTACTTCCCTTGGAGAAAGTGAAACACGAGACGCACCGCACCGGTGCGCCCTGTGGCGCAAGAAAAGGGACTTAGTGTGGCGCACCAGTGTGCCCCATGACGGTCAACCTGTTAAATGAGGGGAAACCACCCCTTTCGAAAACAGTGTTAATACAGTCCTTAGCAGTGCATAGCAACACCTCTCAGACATTTTTTTTTCTCCCGCAAGAATATCCGTAAGGATTTTATTGGATTCTCGAAGTATCAGTGATTCAACGAAAAAATATGTTTTCCTAGTCATGTACTTCCGGCTTTCTCTCTTACACGTATTTCGACTTTCCCTAAGGCTTTTTTTAGTGCAGGGTGTCATGAAACTTCAGTCCTTAGCAACAGAGCATTGTGATGGTGAAGCAGAACATTATTTCTGAATTTTGTCTCCAGTTCTACAGTTTAAAACCTAAATCTCAGTATCACATGAGTTCACCATCGGCTTAGATGACCGCTTGAAAGGTCTTGCCATGAAGAAGTGTCACTCGGTCAATATTTATAGAGTTTTCTCTTTTGCAGATGTTTTCCCCTTTCTGCAGGAGCCTGAGAATTATTGACCAGTTGACACTTTTTCACGACTAAGTCATTCGTTTCAAAGCCCTCGCCACTCATCGGCCCCTGACGGCAGCATGAATATCTTTAGCAATGTAGAATGGTCGGTAAATTCCTGTCCTCAACGTTCGGGAAAGAAAAGACTCAGCTTTGAAAGGGCTCAGCTTCGAAGAATTTGAAGATCTGATGAGCCATGACCCTCCTGGCAATTGCATCCCGTGATCGTCTTTTAGAACATGTTGCAGCAGTTGGAATTGGTATCCTGGATTCTTCGTGAACGTATTACTGCCCAAGCCATCTTGTCATCCAGTCGTCATCCAGGCCGGTGGCGGGTACACAAATACTCACATTCAGCCTATATACGTAGAATTGAAAGCTTAACTCAGAAAAAAAACTTATTTGCTTCACCATCGCACAGTTCAGCTACTGATCTGGTAATAAGGTTTGGTGGCCTCCTGTATATCGAGCTAGGATTCGAATTTTTTAGTCGATGACGAACGGAGTCGAATCCAGAGCGTACCGCGAGAGTTATTTCTTGTTTCTGGGCCATGACGCTGAGAAATATACAGGGTGGCTCAAAAAAAGGGCACTCTTTTAAACGTGAATTTTATGTGTGATGCTTTCAAGGATATTTTCTTCTGATTACAAGTAATGGAAAGAACAAAGACTCAGCTGCAAATTGCTTTCTTCAAACTTGAAATATGTTAAAGGATAACTTATAAAAAAATATTGAATTTTGGTTACGAAAAATCGGCGTTGCTCTCACCAACTCGATCCAACATCCACTCGGCGTCCTGACATTCACGAGAAGGGGAAGGGAAACGCTGACCTCAGCTGACATCGCGAGGATGATTGGATGTGCCCTACTGCCATATGCAGTCAGTGAGCGCAATGCCGAAAATTCAATCATTTTTAATAAGTCATCCTTTAATATATTTCAAGTCTGAAAAATGCATTTTGTAGCTGAGTCTTTCTTCTTTCCATTACTTGTAACCAGAAAAAATATTCTTGAAAGCATCACACCTAAAATTCACGTTTAAAAGAGTGTCTTTTTTTTTCGGGCCACCTAGCACATAGTAAAGCTCCGAATCTGAGAGAAATTTCCCTATTATTTGTTCAAACTCCGATTATTTTTGTGAAGTTGGTTAATCAATGAAAGAAATAGGATACACCGGAGAAATAGGATACACTCTGTCCATTTTCCAGAGAAATATGCATTTCGCTCGTGATCAAGATTTACGAATTAGGAGACCGATAATTAGAACTGTTGCATTTGCCTTTCCTGCAATGAATTACTACATTTCCCGTCAGATAATAAAATTCCCTATTCGAAATTGTAATATAATTTCACATCTCCAAAAATAGACTTAAATAAATTTTAAAAAGTGTGAAATGATTAATGTTAATATTTATATAACGCTCCTTCACCGTGAATGTGAAAGGTACTTGCATCGCAAGAAAGACAAAATGCAATAGTAGCAAAACACATGCGGAAAAACTTCACTGCAAGGGGGAATCGGAAGCTCCAATTTCGAGAGAGGGTCCAAGTTTTCCCCTTCGTTATAGGCATGAACATAAGTCTAAAACCTTTCCCTGGAAAATAGAGTAAGAACTGCGTGTGTTCAATCCCTAAAAAGTAAAGAAATATACTCATTACAAAAAAGCACGATCAAGGAGTTGACTAATATTAATGAAAATTTGCATAAAACCTATTACATTATAAATGGTTAATTCAGAATCAATAAAAAAAAGTTTCCCTGAGAGAGTCACTTTATGGACACCTTGAGTTAGAATGCATCTTGAACTTGAACCTTTGTAGTCATAGTCAGTGAAACGAAGTCGTAACACATTATACACATTGTGCAACACTATATTAAGTACTGAGGATTCATTTGCAAATACAGATTCTATCATACCCTGACGGTTTCGACGATTACAATACTTAACGCCGATAATGTCGGCGTTGTGTATCGCATATTCCTGCATAAGGCGACGAAGGACTTGCGATGCTATAATGCCGTTCCCATAAAGGCAAATGACTGGGGATTTTAGTTTATTTTAGTTTAATTTGCTTTTTGGGCATGAACCAGGAAGACTTTCGGGGAAAATTCTATGTGCTAAATGGATGTCATAAACATGGTTTTATTGACATTAAGTTTCACCTCAATGTAGTTCCGGTGCATTCAATGTCGAAGTAAGGCTCCCCCCTTCGTTGGTGCGAGAAAAGGGAAAACTTGCACCCTCCCAAGCAACGGACAAGAATAAATACATGTGATTTGTTATCTATCGATTCGAGCGTAGGGCCAGATCCTTTTCGATGTTTCCTATCTCTTGCGGGAAGTAGGATTGAGTTCATTAGTAGATCTGTCGCGGATATCGCACCTGTCGCGAGGAGGATTCATACTATGCAGGGCTCCTGGAGGTCATCCTTTTTCTCCTTCCAGTCTGTACGAGTCTGCATATCCACTGGACTCGTACTGTATGAACACATTGAACCTCTCTAACCCGGTACTACGATAGTACAGAGAGCTGAAGGGGAGAAACTCAGAATTTTCTATAACGTCAACGATGTCTGGCAGCTTTTATCAGTACGTGAGGGAAAGTTGCGACATCGTGCGATCTTTGAAATGATAAACAATCTCAAGGCCACGTACGTCGAATTGCTGGAATATGGGAATTGTCTTTTTTTTCATACCTGAAATTGCAGTATAAACACCAGATAAGATACATTCATCGTTGTCGACGTCGTTCTTGAAAAGTAGGAGCAGTGTACCTACTATGAAATAGCAATTACCCTGCTCTTTCGGGGCCTCATTTATACTCTATATCAGTTTCCTATGCTGCGATACCAGTCGGGCCATGTCGGGGGATTTTTCTGGAGTAAACAGTACGTCTTACATGGAAGACTTAGACGAATGAAAAGTAACAGACTCCCTATCAGAAATTACATGGGATCTCTCCATTAGAAATTACGTGGGACGTGAGGCCTTCACATCATCAATGATATCTATGACATGAGACGTCTATGGATTGCTGTTAGCTATTTTCATTCTTTACCTTAATTTAATTTAAATTCTCTTTCACATCCGAATGTCAAATGCACCCCACTCGTGAATTTCAATGCAGAACTAAGAGACTTTTTACTCCCTCCATCCCAGCCGTGATGTAAATGATAAACTTTAAACCCCCAAACTAATACGTGTCCATTTTTCTCCTTGTGACGTTGAAACCTCATCTCTTCGTCCTTTTTTAACTTTGAGATACAATTTTCTCTCAATATTTTAAATAAATAAATAAGAAAATAAGACCAAGGGATTTCATGTTGATGCCGTTTCTTTTGCAGAGAAAGATGTCGAGATCCTGAGGACGTTCTCGGAGCATCTACAGACGTTAGGTCACGAAGTGACCTTCCTCACCCATTCAAAACACCGATCCTTTCTCCAGGACTTGGGCCCCGTGGTTTCGTTCAAAATACCCCCATCCAAGGTGTGCAATATCAACGCATCCAATTCCCCAACCCCATTCCGCATGGTAAGGAACGCCCTTCAAGTTCCGGAAGTGAACTGCCGGGCCGTCCTCGATGATCCCACCCTGAGAACTTGGCTCGGGGAGCAAAAGTTTCACGCTGCCGTGACCGACGTCGTAGGAAACGAATGCAGCTTGGCGCTTCTGCAGGCACTCGGCATCCCCACCATCGGCTTCATCTCTCAACCGGGTTTCGACTTCTTCATGATGGCTCAACCCCCGTCGTACATCCCGACGCCGGGAACGGGTTATGCCGGCAAGATGTCATTCTTCCAGAGGATAAACAACCTCGTCTATTTCGTCACCTATGCATTGACCGTGGAAGCCTACCATCTGGCAGCTTACACGAGCATCGTCAAGCGTCTTCCAGACGGCAAACACCCTTACAACCTCATGCAGGACCTGGCCTTCACATTCTTAACGTACGATTCGTATTTGGATTCCAGAAAGCGCTTCCCACCAAACGTGAAACCCATCGGTTGTCTCCACTGTCGACCGGCCAGGCCTTTGAAGGAAGATTTCCCAAAGGCAGATGAGAAACCCATCGTCCTTCTCAATCTACCACAGGTGCACCGGACCATCATCGATCAAATTTTGACCACCACCCGTCTCAGAAATATCGATGTCGCTCTCACCGACAGAACGACTCGACCGAATCCGAAATTAAGGAATTTCACAATACATTCCGAGGACTTACAAGATCTCCTCGGTCACGATCGGGTCAAGCTGCTGATCACGAACTGCGACCATCGCGACGTCTATTCGGCCTTGTATCATTCCGTCCCCTTGTTGTGCCTCCCGAGCGATTTCCTCCAACGCGACATTGCGGCACTGGTCGAGAGCAGGAACTTTGGGGTCCAGGCCGAGAAATTCGAGCAGTGGACATTGTTCAGAGTCATGGACGAAGCCTTGAACAACGACATCTATTCGCGGACCGTTCGAGCGATTTCGCGGCGAATGCACAGCCGCCGAATTGCGGGTCCCCTCGAAGTCTTTCAAATGTGGACGGAGCTGGTGATAAAGAGGGGAAACCTTTGGCAGCTGAAGATGATAGACTACCGGCAATACCGGTTTCAGACTTACCTCATCGATGCCATCCTCCTATGGGTGATAGGCATCACGTTCCTCGCCTACGTTATGCCGTCCATAAGCAGGCGCTTCGGACGGCTCGTCTCCCTTCTTGTTGGCCTCACGATCCTCATCGTCGGTCCCATCGCGATATTAAATGTGCTGACTTAATGACAATAAAGCAAGACTGAATGAGCGCCTTCGCATTTATCATGGAAATCGAAGTGTCTGTTGGTAATGTGGCATTGGTCGACGTTGAAATACCTACACTCTTAGAAAATTCCGAGCGCTTGGGGAGTAAAATGTGAGCACATCGTTAGCTTTTCGAATTTACTCTCTTATTGCTCGCCAAATGCTCCCTCATCGCTCATATTGAAGTGAACACCTTGAAGTTCTTCACCAGGCCACTAGATGGAGGAAAGGGTCTCGCTTTTCGCACAGTACACAAAAGTACTCTTCCCTCTTTCCCTGGAATCGTCCCTCGCAGGATTGTTTAGTACCTTGCCATATGTCTCGCGTAATCTCATTATAGGAATCAATAAGCACGGACACTTCATCATTTGTTATCCACATATTCAAGACATGTTCATAGAGTCCAGGCCATAAACAAGCTCATATTCCTTTTGAGAACGCTTTTGGAACACTTATAATTTTATCCGCACAGGAAATATATTATTGATATATATAGTGTGTCCGTGAACGGCATTCAGTCATACCTCGATTAAATGAGGTAATAAGGGACTGATATCCCGGATACTCCACAGAACCTATAAGAGGTGGCCCACCCCCTGACCTCTACAGTACTGTCAGAGGTAGATCATCGCCTGAACGCGAGCGGAAGCGACACACATTATATGAGAATTTTCGTATTTGCATGACATCTCCATCACTTTCTGAGGGGAGTGTTTTTACTCGCGGAGGAGGAGAGCAATTTTACTCCTTGGTGATGGAGTAAATTCGCTCCTTTCCCAGAGTGAAAGGAGGGTGAAACTGGAGTTAGCTATTTTACTCTCTTTTTTGAGAAAGATCGCTCCCCTTTTTCTAGGAGTGTAGGGCTTCGCGAGGAAGTCCGGGGATTACTCTTACGTTTTAATATCATGGGAAACATCCTTTCCCTTCCTTTTCCTTTCCCTTTCCCCTCTCCTCGACCAGCTACCAGGAGAACCGTTTATAGGGGAGTAGCAATGGCCCCCTCCCTACTTCTTAACTTGGTATTAACTGATCGGTACCACAGACTTTCCAGTCTTGAAGGCTCCACGACCAGGAAGTGAAGTAGTGGAATCCAGGCACGACCGAAGCCCTGATGAGGTATGTGATAATGGCAGTATTGAGAGGCACGACTGAATGTCCCGGGTTCGGTGGTGTAATGGTAGCACACCTAACCGGCAATCATGAGCCCCAGGTTCAATTCCCGGCCGTCCGTCAAACCTCCCTACCTTCAGTTTATCTCTTCACAGGTAGGTATGGACCATATACTGTACGCTGGAGTCATAATTCCCGGAACAGGCCCGATCGCTCCTGTAAGAATTTCAGCCCATAATTCACCGAGAATAAGCGAGCCAGTGCAACCAGAGGCGATTCTCCGAGGGATAGGGGAGGGCCGTAATATTCCAGAGACAATTGGTGGCTTCTTATCAACAACACTTGCATGAGGCGTGCTTCGTGGCAGCGGAATCGGGAATCGATTCATTCGAGGATTCCACAAAAACGGAGTCCTCAACGTAACACGAGTGTCACATTGAGTCCGCTGCTCGGCCATGGAGGAGTTGTCGATGTTCGCACGGCAGGTGGAGGATCGACAGCATCATTTACCTCGTATGTTGCGACCCTATTAATGAAAAGGATTCGCGCAGAGTGTCTCATCTAGTTACCCTCTACTCTAGGCCCACACGGGCTACAATCCCATTGCACCGTAACAATATCATCCGTAATCATGTAAAGTCGGGAACTTCTGAATCACCCGATGCTAAGTCCAATGTGTGTGGTTGGTTTCCCGAAAATGTAGTAACACTGTGTTATTCGAAACGTCGTTGGTTCCACGGGGACGAGATGGGAATGAATACTCGTATAGGTCGGGAAACTCTCTGGTTGAATGAACTTTCCGAGAGAATCTGACCTTACATTGCAAACATGAATGTGTCCACATATTCCAGAGAACCCTCTCCATCGATCCATCAAAGTACATTTCAAGATTTCCACGTTGAAGGCGGATCAGGGAGGCATACTCCGGCGAGCGTACGAGAGGGAGGAGAGGGGTGGTGGACAGTCGAAAACGAGAGCATCAAGAGTGAGCGAGGAGAGAAAAGTTCCTGTTTCGGGCATATACGAGGTGTGGCTATTAAGTTTCCAGACTTTACATGATTACGGATGATATTGTTACGGTGCAATGGGATTGTAGCCCGTGTGGGCCTAGAGTAGAGGGTAACTAGATGAGACACTCTGCGCGAATCCTTTTCATTAATAGGGTCGCAACATACGAGGTAAATGATGCTGTCGATCCTCCACCTGCCGTGCG